GCTGGACGAAGGGACATCTGCAGGTTCTTTTAGGAGGAGGAAGAAGAAGAAGAAGAAGGGAAAAAATAAATAAAGCAAGGAAAATGTGCTCAAAATATTATGGTTTCCAGTTGTCTCTTTATTATTGGCTTCTGGTTAGGTCTAGCTAGTCAACATGTTGCATTTAATAGAAGATCTCAGTCGTTTACCTAAGCAAGGACCGGCCAAACTAGCCATTTAAAGAGGTGGACAGCCAAGATCTAATCAGTTTCAGACCGACCAAATTTTGAGGATATATTTTTCTTGCATGGAGGAATTGATGGGATGGAAGTCTAGGGTTCGAATAAATGATGAGGCTGAGAGTTCAAATTTTGTCAGAGAATCCAGGCAAATTACCAACTTAAGTGAAGTTAGATCTTCTTACATATAATACTAGAGCAAATTAAAGAAAATGAAGTTATGAAAATAGTAAAGTATTATAGAATATCTTCGACTGGAAATAAAGTATTATCAAATTCGTCATTTACGAGAAAAAGAATAATCTTAAACTTGAGTATTAAGTGGTCTAATACATGATTTTATATTGTTAAATTAGTGATACTCACCTAGGTCTTCATTTTGAAGACGGTTGTAGTCCTTGTTAATAAGAATTATTAGATTAATCTACCGATAGATTAACTTATAAGCTTAAACTATCTCTCTTATACCTAATCAAAATCCGCATTATCTTTCCCCACCTAACAACAAAAATTCTCTATAATTCCTACTTTACCCATGTGCAACTTTTCTTTTCAATTTGAAAAACCTAAAAATTAGAATCGACGCCACCACCAAACCTCCCTCGTACGGCGCCACCACCTCACCCTTCTCATTCTCTTAGGTCGTCTAACGCATTGGAACACACAACCCATTCGGTTATCTTTGATTCTCCAACAAATTGTTCACGTCATCCGCCAATAATAACAATTTGGATGAAAAATAAAAAAAAACTTAACGTTGGGGTTGAGATTGGCCAATTTTAAATAGTTTAGAAAGTGAATTGGTTAAAAAAGGATAGTGCTATTAACACATCCATTTTTACCTTCCACACTTCCTTATTAATTTTGATTATTGATCTTCTTCAATTTATTTATTCTGACGATTAAAAATTGAAAATAGTGTATGAGAAGTAAAAATTAGTATGTGAATAGCACTACGTGTTAAAAAATAGTTAAACAAGTAGATGGACACTAACATAATAGTTTAGGGTAGTAAAGAGCAATTCACCTTTTGGAGAAATGTTAATTGTGCATTTCATTCGTTGGTGAGGACAAGTGACCACTGTCATAGGTACAAAAATGGAGAGAAAAATAGGGCATTATTAGAAACGTCTGAATGAATGATGCTTTCATGGTAGTGCATGCAGATGCACGGCACAGAGAGCTCCTGGCTGAAAGATACCTTACAATTCACGAATCCAATTCAATAATGATGATGCTGCTGCCGTTTTTATTTTTTATTTTTCTATAATGTTAGAATAAAAATTGATGTAGAATTCTGAATTGACAAAGAGTATGAAAAGTCTCATTTTTGAGCGCATTTCTCTTTTCTTTTTTGTCGAAACGATGATGCTTTTTTCACTTTTCATGCAGTGAGAGAAATGAACGCAAACACATACATGCATACAGTACAGAGTTTCCCCTTAAGATGGTACTTCCAAAGTTGAAATAAAAGAGCAAGGCAAAAGAAGCAAAGAACCCTAAGACTTACGTGACATGTACACGTACCTACGCGTGGACTCTGGTTCATGCACTTCGCTTGTCATCGCCAGAAGGCAATCTGAAACCTTTTTTTTGTCCTTTTGACAATATATAACTTAAAGGCGTCATGAATTGTTGAGAAATTAACAAAATTTAAAGGGGTAAAAGGTTCAAATTTCAACTAATTCATATCATGTCATCAACAAAAATTCATATCAATTTTTTTTGTCAATCTTTAACAAAATTCATATCAATCATTAACAAAATTTCATATTGAGTTATCAATTAAATAAAATTAGGAATTTAAATAACTAAAATTTGAAAAACTAGGGATTTACCTTACAAATTGACTGTGGCTGGTGGTGACTGACGACGACTTGGAGCCGTGGAGGGCGACGATGCGCGGTGGTCAATTGGCTGGCAGCGGAGGCGGTTGCCTGCCGCCGCCTACTTCCAAAAGGGGACGCACACGCAGCCTTCTTTTTGTTCGCGGTGAGATCTTGGTATCATGGGGGATAAGTGGTCCCCCGTTTTATTATATATATAAATTTAATCGAAAAAACGACGCCGTTCTTTTAAAAAAAAAATATATATATTATGTTCTAAATAACGTGGTCTAGGTTTAAAAAAAAAATAAAAACTAATGAAAATGATTTGAAAATTTTGAGTTTTAACTATAAAGACAAAATAAAGGGTAAAATGATTGATACCAGGATTGACTTTTTAATCTAAAAATGTGATTTTTCGTTAAAGTGAACAATAACAAAAGTTTTACGTTAAAGTTCCCTTAAACTTGCAATCAAGGGCAACTTGATCTTAAATATATCAACATTCAACAGTTGATACATTTGCAATGCAAAAATGCCGGTCTAGCGATAATGCGAAAATGTTGATCGACGGGCAACGCAAAAATAGGGTAACTTGCACGGCTGACTCTGTAGCGAAAGTCTCTATTATTTGTGTTGATGGACCAGCACTGGGGGAACCTAATGCTGTATCGTCTACGGCCTAAACAATGGGGGACCTTCAGGACATGCCCTAAGAATAGGGTACCCATAGCGTAGTCGGTGGACCTAATTTGTTCCTATTAAGGAAACTCGTCTAAATTAATCCCTAATTAGTAATACGCATCCATATCTTTAATTTTTAACACATCCATATGTTTAATTCCGGATGACTGACATGTCAATGATACAAAAAAGTACTAGAAACTCTCTTAAAAGTAGGACTCTCCATGTATTTTTTGTCACCTCATGTTTTCTACACAATATTTTATAATGTTGGGATGAGAATTGACGTTAAACTGTGAGGTGTTAGAAAGTCCATGAAAAGTCCCTTACCATTTCTCACCCCGTGACATGAGTTCAGCCATATATGATCATGATTCACTTTTATTTATTTTTATAAAACCTCGATGGTACAAGGTAATTTTATTGATATGAAAAAAAAAAATTACACTTAGACAAAATTTATCTTAATTCAACTTATTAATAATCTTTCGCAAAACTCTTATGCAAATACAAATGCGTTCGAACCATTAGATTGATAGATCACCTTAATTTCTCTATTAAGGTAGAGACCAATATTGCATGGTTTAAATAGTATTCCAACACAATGCGAATTCTATTGTACGCAAATCCTTGTTTTTTTTAAGTGATTGATTCACTTCAAATGCCATAGGACTGGAACCCCATATCTGAAAAAAGAAGTTATGTAAAATTACAAGAGGATAAGAGGCTGGAGGTATATATTTTGGAGATGGATTGTCTGCCTTCTCATTTCCATACTCTTTCCATGCCCTTCTATGATGTGTGATCACGGTTAAGTCACGTCAACATTTTATATTCCTATTACTTTTTGTTTTATTATTTCTATAAATTGTTTTATTATTTCTATAAAAAATTAATATAAAATATTGATGTAACTTAATTATAACCACACAAACAAAAAAACATAGAAAAAGTATGAAAATAAAAGGGCAAAGAATCCACCTCTATATATTTTTGGTGCAACAAGAGAAAACGTTGGATCATAGTTAAATTCAAGACATAGGCAGTACGTACTTCACCAAACTGAAAAAAAAATCATCATAGCTAACTCTTTATCTCAAATAATGTCAGAAAAATCAGAAGAAAATTAGGGGTAAATGCTCAATGTTTCCTCTCTTTCTTATTTACTTCTCTTACTATGTTTCCTCTCTTTCTTATTTACTTCTCTTACTATGTTTCCTCTCTTTCTTATTTACTTCTCTTACTTTCTACTGAGTATTGATAGTGATATTTTCTCATTGATGGTACCCGTCGATCTGTTGCTTTTAGTCTCAGTCTGCGTAGTGCAATTGTTTCTGTTCATGTACATGGACATTTTACTTCATTTTTAACCAAATGGTTAATACTGAAAGGATATGACGGTAAAAGAGTCTCAAATTAATGAAAGGAAAAACTTAGTAAAAACTTATAGAGAATCCCACATCCTCACAAGTACAAAAGATGCCCCAGCTAGTGAACATTGAAAAAAGTAGATTAACGATGTTTTAGTCCTTTGCTAATTAAAATGGTCACCTCATTAGTTTTGCAGAAGCTTAGCCATGTTGTTATGTATAACTCTTGACCAATTTTACCATATTGAAGTGCTTCTAGTACGTTTGACGTTAAACATTAAAAGTGTTTATAGATTGTAAAAGCACGTTTAAGCTTTTATTTTTGTAAGAAGCACGTATTACTTTTTTATACACCTTTTAGAGTAAAAAATGCTTTTAATTAAATACATTTTCAGAAAGTATTTGAATTTTGATACAATTTACATGGTCACTATAAAACATATTTTACTGTGAAAGACTTATAGTTGAAATGATTAAAAGTTGCATGTGATTCTTCTATTTCACAATATTACTTGTATCAAAAGAAAAAAAACATATTTAGTTTTATTACAGTCAAAATTAAGTAATATATATACCCATAGTTGATAGTATAAGCTATTTATTTTTCTCTGTTTTTTTTTTTTGTTTTTTTCTTTTATACACAACCATACCTATATGTATATTTATGTAGAGAGAGAAAATAAGATAGAAAGGGATTGATGAGATAAGACTGGTCAAATGTACAAAAAAAATTTGCATGGGAATGAGTTACCAAAAGATTTTATACATCTTTTGGATGTCTCCCTTCTCTCCACTTCCCGGCCCCTCCTTACCTTTATATAAGCCACTTCCCACTCGGTTTCTCGCAGACAACCCACTTTTCTTGACTTGCTCCTTCTCTCTCTCTCTCTCTCTCTCTCTCTCTCTCTCTCTCTCTCTCTCTCTCTCATCTCCCTCTTCTATCACTTTCTTTCATAGAACTCTCTCAACCATTTTTCCAATTTTTCAAAAGCTCTCTCTCTCTCCAGATATATATATATTGTTATACAATGGCAGCCTTTTCATACAATGGCAGCCTTGACTCAATTTTCTTGCCCAACGCTCCGGCTACCAATGACATCATCATTTACAGTAACTTCTTTTCCCCATCTGAGCCTTTAACCCGGGAAATTCAAGCTGATAATAATTCAAGAGCTGTTGAAAGCAGCTGCACTATGGATCACAGCTCCACTCATAAGGCTGCTTTTAGTGACAATGAGAATGAGCCTTCTGTGACCAAAAACAAGAGCACAGAGTCCTCAACTGTTGTGGATGTGGATAGGCTTGAAATTGGTGAGCAGGTCACTCAGAAAGTAACTCCTATGGACAAGAAGAGAAAATCCAGAATTGGGTCATCCTTCAAATCTGCTCAATCCAAGGTATTTATATAATATATATATATAGTGAATACATGGTCTCTAAGATGGTCTTATATCTGTCGCGTACAACAAAACAGGGTACCTGCTATAAAACTGGTCTTGTATGTGTAAATTTTCCTTTTTCCATGTGAGTTGTACGGAATTTCAGATATTAATTGATGGAAATTTGGGGGTTTTAATGGTGATGTACTCCACTAGGGTACTCAAGAGCATAAGGGAAAGATGCAAAAGAAGATTGGTGGCGGTACCAAGAAAGCTGAGGAAAAGAAGATTAAATCAGATAAAAAAGACCAGGTGAAAGTAAGAGAAGAACCTCCAACTGGCTACATTCATGTTAGAGCAAGGAGGGGTGAGGCTACAGATAGTCACAGCCTTGCAGAAAGGGTACACAAAATATGAAATTTCATTAAACATACCCAACAGTTTATTTCCCAAAATTGTTGTTGTGCCCACCATTTTATTATATCTCATAATTGTGTATTCCTTTTTTCTCTGGTTTTTTAGGTAAGAAGAGAGAAAATTAGTGAGAGGATGAAGATGCTGCAAAAACTTGTCCCTGGCTGTGACAAGGTGGAACCAGCTTCTCTCTCTCTTGCTTATTTGTCATTACCTTATTTGTATATATTATGTAATTTTTCTGACTAGATTCATGTGATTGATCTTTTTATTATAAATAAATTAGGTAACTGGAAGGGCAGTCATGCTGGATGAAATTATCAATTATGTTCAGTCCCTACAAAATCAAGTGGAGGTACAGTTTTACTGTGATATCCGTGCACATACATGTTAATTTCTTATCTTAATTGAATATGTGATTTAACCAATTGTTTCTAATTATTTTTTTCTTTTTCGATCAGTTCCTCTCACTGAAACTTGCTTCTTCGAATCCAATGTTCTTTGACTTTGGAATGGACATGGGTGCTTTAGTGGTTAAACCAGAGGTACATAGTTAAAAAGTATCAGTTATGTTCAATCCCACTTCACAGCGTTTTCAAACACAGGAATGAAAATCTTCCGTTCGTATCTAATCGGAATAGAGACACGAGAGTTTCATTCTCAAAAAACCTAATTCATGAACCAAAAATTACTAATGTAATTACAATTCGGTTTTTATTTTTTGCCATGCAGAGATTGTGTAGCATGGTATCACCATATCCATCTGCGCAACAATGCAACCTAATACAGTCCACACCTTTTGCTGATACATCCACCAACATCACTGCCACCACTGCCGCTGCCACTGCCGCCATCACCACAAATAACAACTATCATTTTCTGGACAATTCAGCTTCACATCTACTTCAAAGGCCAAATACCTTCTCTCAGGTATATATTTCTGACTTAATTTGTTGACCCAATTTCAATTTTTCTTTTGAAAATCACTTAAACAAATGTTAATTAATGAATTATTAATTAATACTATTTTTTTCTAACCTTGAGGTTCATGACAAAACATATATCGTTTTCAGGACAGTGAGAGCTTGTTGTGGGATGTGGAAGATCAAAGACAAAACTTTCATAATCCATGTGGTTTCAGCAACAGCAACTTGTGTTCTTTCAATTAATTATAATGCAAAAAAGCTGCCCCACAAGCATAACAGCATATGGTTGGCCCTCATTTCCTTTCTCGTACTTAAAAACAAGTACATAATTATACACAAATTGATAAGATTATTACTAGTTAAATCAATGTAATACCACGTACTTGTGTTTATTATAGCCTTTAATCATTGTACGAAACTTTTACTATACTCCAATGTATAAGATCTTGATCAATGAATTATTCAGTGCATTAGATCTTTGTCAATGAATTCTTGATGAATGACCAATTGCCAAAAATCATTTCGTATAGAATCCACCGAAACATATTAAAAAAACCATAATTTTGTTATTGTCCACCTTGTTGACTTATATAACTTACAAAGCTCTCTTCTTTTTTTAATTGGTCTTTCCAGTTTGTGAACAGACTACAAGAAAGCAGCAAAAAACCGAGAAAAAGAAAACCAGACGTGGAAAATTAATCAAAAACTTAAGGTTCTCTTTTTTACAGTTCCATTGGAGTGGGAGCTTTGAACATGAATAAAGGTCAGCAAGCAATACCAGTGGATGCAGAAGAACACAAAAGGACAACAGATAGCAACCGACCAATGAAAGACCAAATCTTTTTCTAGATCCCTTGCCTTATATTATCCAATGCACAAATTCCAAGGCCCCATAGCCATATGGTGGTGGTGAAAAATTGGAATTTTAATATGTAAAAGAAGAATATTATATTGACCATTAAATGTATTTGACCAATTCCTGTGGTTTCAGTTATTCTAGTTATTTCAGTTATTTTTTTAACCGTGTTTTTTTGTGGTGCGTGAATTGAGAAAGTAAAACCCTAAAAGTAGGGTTGTTTGATTCTGTTGCTGTAGGCTTGCAGTTGACATGACTGGTTATGCAGTAGTTGTTTGTGGAATCTTTTTGGTATTGTTCTGGCGTTATTGTGAGACTGATCGGTTTCTCTGATGACCTGAGGTTAATTCCCCCAAATTATCTACCCGACGGTTCTAGGCAGAACCATCCGTTGAGCTTAATTAGACCAGCAGCTAAACAGTGCGTATAAGTGACCTACATCTCACTTTACCCAAAAGGAAAAAAAAAAAGGCTAACTAATTTCCATGTTGAGGCATGCGAGGTAGCTTGAACTTGTCATTGTAAGTTTTTTTTATATGACCAATACGATAAAATTAAGAAAATCAAATTTAGGATGTCGAATGCACGAAGTGAACATCTTAACCAACTGAGTTTTTTAACCAAATGTTTTTCATGTAAAGAAAAATTCATAAATCCGCACACTGTATGGAAGTGATTGTAAGAATTCGAGTGACCGTTCATAAAATTTTGCAGAGGACCACATTCATTGATTTCTTTGAATTGATAAAGTCACATGACAGTCATATGCTGGGCTGCAATTAAATGCTTTTTCTAGACAGACCAATCAAGAAGTAATTGTTCTGGTAGTAATTGACTGAATCTAAGAAATAAACAAACCCGGGAAACATGGCAGACTATTGTAACAATGTTTCACCAAAGGAACGACAATTATGATTTGGAGGAAAATAAATAAACATATAAAAGTTTCAGGGGATCTCAAGCACATTAAAAAAGATTTACTTAATTTAGAGTCATATGATACACTGTTGTATGTGATGCACCAATTTTATACACACGCAAACTCAGTCATCCATTAAAATAAAACATCTCATATATTGATGCATTATAGAATTTCGCTTAAATTAAAAAAAAAAAAAAGAGGAGTAAGTAAAATATTAATGCAGAGAATATCTGAATATTGGCCTCCCACTAGTAAAAAAAACCCTTGTGTGACCAAATTTTGCGTGACGAAACACACATCGTTGTGCAAAGTGACTTTGCGCGATGAAACTCTAAACTTCGTCACGCAAAATCTTGCACGACAAAAAACACATCGTCACACAAAGTGACTTTGCGCAACGAAATTCTAAGCTTCGCTGCGCAAAGTCTTGCTCGACGAAAAATATATCGTCGTGCAAAGTCTTTAAAAAAATAAAAAAATGATTTTTTTTAAATCTTTGTGCGACGTAATTCAAATATTTCATCGCCTAAACCAATTTATTTTCTTTTTTTTATTTTGTATGCATAACACTTAAGAAATTGAATGGTATATATATTTATTAAGTAGCTTTAAATTTATTATTGTAGTTCAAATCGAGCTTTTGTTAGAAAAATATATTATCATAGTTCGGATCAAATTTTTGTTAGAAAGATATATTTTAAATTGACCATCGAATTAGTTCATTGTATTCATATAGCGTCAAGGAGTGTAGCTGTAAAAAAAAATCATCAAAATTGGAGTTGAAATAACCGTTAAATCGTGATTTTTCGTTTATAACCGTAAAAAAATTTTGTCTCGTTGCTTGATCTCTGAATGTTTGTTTTTTGTGATTTTTGGTGCATATGATCTCGAAGTATATACAAACAAGTTTGACAATTGGATCGTTGAAACTAGTTTCGTAGAATGCGTATCCCATCAAAACAATAGATTCACTAACACTTAGAGTTTATTTATATTTTCATTAAGTATAACATAAGATTTTGTGGTTTCCACTAGTGTAAATATTTTAAATTGAAGATCGAATTTAGTTATTGTATTCATATAGTGTCAAGGAGTGTAGCTGTAAAAAAATCATCAAAATCGGAGTTAAAATAACCGTTAAATTGTGATTTTTCGTTTATAACCGTCAAAAAGTTTTGTCCCATTACTTGATGTCTAAATGTTTATTTTTTGGTATTTTTGGTGTATATAATCTCAAAATATATACAAACAAGTTTGACGGTTGGATCGTTCAAACTAGTTTCGTAGAATGCATATCCTATCAAAACAATAGATTCACTAACATTTAAAGAGTTTATTTATATTTTCATTAAGTATAACATAAGATTTTGTGGTATCCACTAGTGTAAATATTTTAAATTGAAGATCGAATTCAATCATTATATTCATATAGGGTCAAGGAGTGTAGCTGTAAAAAATCATCAAAATCATAGTTAAAATAACCTTTAAATTGTGATTTTTGTTTATAACCGTCGAAAAGTTTTGTCCTGTTACTTGATCCTTAAATGTTTGTTTTTTGCGATTTTTGGCGTATGGGGTCTCAAAATACATACAAACAAGTTTGACGGTTGGATCGTTGAATGGTATGTGTGTGTGTGTATTAAGTAGCTTTAAATTTATTTATTTTGTACGTATAACACTTAAAAAATTGAATTGTATATATATTTATTAAGTAGCTTTAAATTTATTATTGTAGTGCGAATTGGGTTTTTGTTAGAAAAATATATTATTGTGGGTTTTAAAAAAAATTGAATTTGAAGGGAGTAAAGTCACATTTTCAGTAAATTTTATTATTTATAAAAATTATTTTTATAAATTTTGCGTGACGAACCAATAATTCGTTGCACAAAATCCTTAAATTTGGATGGGAGTCAAAAATGGGACGTGGGATTTTTTTTTTAAGACTTTGCGTGACCAATTTTTCGTCACGCAAAACTTTTCGTGACCAAACTCTAAAAATTTGGGCGGCCACCAAAAATGGGACACGAGAATTTTTTTTAAATTTTATTCAAGTGGTCAACAAAACTTTGTGTGACCAACACTTCGTCATGCAAAACTCTAAAAATTTGGGCGGGCACCAAAAATGGGCCATCGAAATTTTTTTTTAGTGGTCGCGCAAAACTTTGCGTGACCAATTTTTCGTCGCTCAAAACTTTGCGCGACCAATACTTCGTCGCTCAAAACTTTGCGCGACCAACACTTCGTCATGCAAAAATCTAAAATTTTGGGCAGGCAAAAAAATGCGACGTGGGAATTTAAAAAAAAAAAAATTTTAAGACTTTGCGCGACCAATATTTCGTCGCTCAAACTCATATCCTTTGTTGCGCAAAGTGATACCATTTTTAAAACCAAAATAACTCCTTCACAATTTTCTCAATGTCTTTCTGTACTCTTACCTCTCCTCTCTCTTTGCCTCTCCTCAAATCCGGCCCTCTCTCTCACACTCACTCCTCTCACTTAATCTCTCTTCTCTCTCTTCACTATCTCACACTCTCACTCACTCTCTCATCTCTCTCCCACTATCTCCTCTAATTCTCACACTCACTCCTCCCTCTCATTCTCACTCGCTCTCAATCTTGCCAAAAGATATATTCTCCCCAAATTTTAATTTTTTTTCATTAGAATATGTTTTTGGAGTTAGTTTTGAGTTTGGTGCAGGGTTTGGGGTCGAGTATAGGATGAGGAGTGGAGTTTGGGGTCGAGTATAGGATGAGGAGTGGAGTTTGGGGTCGGATTTGGGGTATACCAATTTTAGGGGAGATTATGCCAATTTTATGTTATTATTTTGTTATCTGACCATATATATATATATTTTTTTTTTGTAGGGAATCGTCTAGACTTTGACGGCTAAAGTTGAGGATTATGACGCTCTCGAAACATATCCCCCGCCACTACCACCACAATAGACTTGTATTAGGATTTTATTATTGTACTTTGTTAATTTATGTGTACCTTTTGAATATATTATATATATTGGATAATTTGATCACTATTTTTCATATGTCAATTTAAATCAAAGTAATTAAAAAAATAAAATCATACAATTAAATTAAATTTTAAAAGTAAAAATTCGAAAAATCTTGCGCTACCAAATATTTCGTTGCATAAACAATTAATATAATTAAATTAATATAAGAGAAATAATAAAACAAAAAAGTCAAAAACCTTGCGCGACAAAATATTTCGTTACGAAAAATATTAAATTAATTTATTTTAATTTTAAAAATTTTAAATTTAAAATATTTCGTCGCGCAAAGCTTTGCGCAACATTATCTTTGCGCGACGAAGATTAATTTTCGTCACACAAACCCTATCATCACGAGCTTTGCGAGACGAACCATGCCCGACGAAATTGTATTTTACGCAACAAACTTATTTCATCGCGCAAAGTATTTTTGTAGTAGTGTCCTATACTATTTTGTAGTTGATATGGTTAATTAAGCTATTTAGTTTTACGGTCTAATGATATTCCTCTTCACTTGTAAGTGAAATGTCTTGGGTTCGATTGTCGTCAATGGCGAATTTGAACCACATTATTGCTAGCCCATTGTGAGACTAACACCCCCCTCCCCATTGTTTGTTAAAAAAAAAAAACGGTTACAGTAAAAACAAAAATAACTAAAATTAATTATTTACTAAATATGGCCCTGTAAATAGAACATATCCATAAACATAACTAACGACACATATATTAGTTTTGGAAATTCTCTTTTCCTTGGGATTGGTCGACATGCTTAAGCTGGTTCATGGAGGAAGACAATGCATGTGGTTTTTGTGTTCGACATACTTTTTACGTTGACCCACATGTTGTTGTCATTGACAATCAGTCGGACACATCCACTCTACTTGCATGGTTTCACCCTAAGAATTGCATATACTTCTAAAGCACATCATGCTTCAAACGCGGTTAGCTAGTTAAGAACATTCACCTCATGCAATTGATGTTTCAAGTTCGGTGTTCTCCCAATATCATTGGTATCAGAAAAAACACGTATTGTTTTATGTATTCGACAGGTTCCAAAGAGAATAAAGTAAACCATGTTTGGCAATTATGTTGTTCAATAGTTGTCCAGGCTTCCAGTCCCATCTCTTGAAGTTGTGGAGCGCGGTGAGCCCAAGAAACAACCGATGGATGACTCCAACTTTGATTATTGCTTTTAATTTCATTCCTTTTTTCTTTTCTTTTTTTATCTTTCACAGGTGT